TTTCTCGGAGCTTTACACCACAATGATTGAGCTCCGAACACCACCAACCGTCTAGGGCGCCCAAGCACCCAAGAGGAACAAGCTCAAGGGTACCAAGCACCCAAGAGTAATAAGCTTCTCAACTTGTAACTTCCACGTATCACCATGGAGAACTCAAACCAATGCACCAAATGCAATGGCAAGGGCACACGGAGTGCCCAAGTCCTTCTCTCTCAAATCCCATCGAAGCAACTAATGCTAGGGAGGAAAATGAGAGGAAGAACAAGAAGAAGAACACCAAGAACTCCAAGATCTAGATCCAAGGGGTTCCCCTCACATAGAGGAGAAAGTGATTGGTGGAAATGTGGATCTAGATATCCTCTCTCTTTTCCCTCAAAAACTAGCAAGAATCCATGGAGGGATTGAGAGTTAGCAAGCTCGAAGAAGGTCAACAATGGGGGAAGAACACGAGATTAAAGGATAAGGTTCATTGGGGAAGAAGACCCCTTTTATAGGAGGGGGAAAATCCAACCGTTATGTGCTCAGCCCGCACACGAGCGATACTACCGCTCAGGCGGAAGAAACAGGGAATGGAGCAGTAAAACATGAACCTTGGGGCGGTAGTACCGCTTATAAGCGGTACTACCGCTCACCCCAGCGGTACTACCGCTGGAGGAGCAGAACACGGGACCAAAAGAGGCAAGGCAGAGCAGAGTACGGTGGCAGTACAACAGTAGCGGTACTACCGCCCGACCGAAGCGGTACTACCGCTTAGGCGGAACTACCGTGCAACTACTGCTAAACCCGACACGAAAAGTGCAGGACCCAAAAACGAGGCGGAAGTAGAGCGGTACTGCAGCGGTACTACGGCTGAGAGCTCCAAGCGGTACTACCGCTTGGGCTCGCGGTACTACCACTGGGACCAGACAAAAGCCACTTCCAAGAAAACAAGAACTGCCATAACTTCTGCATATGAGCTCCGAATTGAGCAAACTCAAGCTTGTTGGAAACAAGACAACGAGTAGCATCAAAACAGCGAGAAGTGAAACCTTCAACCGAGAAGAACCGGTGTCATGGAATTGTCACGGCAGATGTCCTTAGTGTCAGGACTTAGTCACGAGGCCAACGCATCTATATGGTAGCTTGAGAGGGGTTGAGCGGGATGAGAGACGCGATGTTTACCCAGGTTCGGCCCCTCACGATGGAGGTAAAAGCCTACATCCTGCTTCATTGATATTGATGATGATGATCACGGTTACAAGAGTGCTCTATCTCGAGAGCTATTGTCTAAACCTAACTTGTCCAACTTGTGGAACTTGTCTCTCTTCTCCCTTTTGGGGAGCCCTGCCCCTCCTTATATATGTTGGAGGGGCGGGTTACATGTAGAGTCCTATTAGGATTAGGACTAGTCTATCTCTAATACAAACCGGATACAAGTCCAGGTCTTAACTCCTTGTAAGATAAATGTTCCTCATGCCTTTCCTCTTAAATCGGCCCACCATTAACATAAACCGGCCTGCTGGGCCTTGGGCCTTGTCATCCATCTGGAACACGCGCCGGGTCACCAATGAGTCTTCAGGCTCGTGAATCGTCATACCAGTGAACCGCCAGACACGTAAGTCGCCAATCCTCTAGCGGTTTACCAATGAAACGCCTAGTCCGGTCAGGTTATACTTCCGGCCGGTTTACGCTGCGGGGTATATCCCCGACAACTGGCGAAACCTCCAACATCGAAAACGTCATAGAAGCAAGTGAACTCCGTTTTTGATGAACTTGAACTTGTCATCAAGATGACCATAAGCTCTAAGACTCACAAAGAGAACCAAACAAGAACCAAGAAACATGATGCAAGGATGCAATGGTTTGAGCGCTCAACGAACGGTACGATCAAGCTACTCATCGAGAGCCCCCCTTGATAATACGGCAATCGATCCTATAACCCGGTCTCCCAACTACCATCATGAGACCGGTAAAATAGAAAATCTATCAAGGGCAAACCTTTGCCTTGCACATGGTCCACTTGAGTTAGATGATGACGATCTTGACTTCCTCAAGTTGGACCACCTTTCTTGATTGTGTTGGCTCGATGAAGACTAGTTGATTTCTCCCCCATACTCCACTATGGGTGAGCCACTCTTCCGCACATCTTCACATGTCCATTGTCACCACAATGGACGGCAAGCTTCAAACATTTAATCTCTTCATGATGCTCCACTTGAACTTGCACACCGCAACCTAACCCCACAAAGAACTCTCACGAAGACCATGGGTTGCTACACAAAGCGAAATTGACAATGCTTACCATACCATGGGATCACTTGATCCCTCTCGGTACATCTTATGCGCTTTGTGAGTTGATCAACTTGATTCATTCTTGACTTAATCTTGATCAACCTTGAATCTTTCCAGTTCTCTTCATATGGATGATGTCTCGAAGGTAGACATGAATGATCACACAATCTTCTTCTTCAAGACATGCTTGCAATAAGCTCGACACTCACATGACCAATCTTTGGATAATTCCTTGAATGGCACCTTGGTCGACACAAACTCTCCTTGGAACCAACACATGTACTCCAAGAAAAGCCTATGGACAAAACCTTTAAATATAACTCAAGGCAACCATTAGTCCATAGAGATTGTCATCAATTGCCAAAACCAAACATGGAGGCACCGCATGTTCTTTCAACTTTGAGTTGGACTTTCCTTGCCCGGCCAACCGCGAATTTTCTCGATCCTTGGGAAAGCTCCCTCCAAGAACACAACACGTTTGAGCGCAGGCCCCACGGTGGGCGCCAATTGTCATGGTTTTGTCATGGCGGATGTCCTCGGAAAAGGACTTAGTCATGAGACCATCGCAACTAGGTAATAACTTGGATGGGGTTGATCGAAAACGAGAAGACACGAGTTTTACCCAGGTTCAGCCCCTTACGGTGGAGGTAAAAGCCTACATTCTTCTTGATATCTGTTGATCCTCATGGTCTTGATTACAAGGGCGCTATTTCACTGCCTCTGTCTCGAGAGCTATCAAAACATCTGTCTCGAGACCTACCAAAACATCTGTCTCGAGACTTGTTTGTCTAAAACCTTATCCTTTTGATGACTCGGGGACTCCCTTTATATAATAGATGAGTCCCTTGGGTTACAAGAGATTCCAGGTTATACCATAGTCGGAGTCCTACTCTAAGTCCTCTAAGTCCTCCGTGTCATCCAAGTCGGGGTTCTCCATATTGTATTTGGACTCCTGGAAACTAGGACTTGTCTCTCCAGGTTGGGACTCATCCTCAAGCTGGGTCTCGTCTCCAGAGCCGGCTCATCTCCCTGAGCTGCCTTATCTCTAGAGCATGCTTATCTTCGTGAGGCCGATTATCTCCGCGAGCCGGCTTATCCATGAGCGAAATCATCTCCGGGTGCCTGCTTAGCTCTGTGAGCCAGCTTATCCATGAGCCTGCTTATCCATGAGTCGGCTTATCCATGAGTCTGCTTATCCATGATCCGGCTCATCTCTATGAGCCAGCTTATCCATGGGCCTGCTTATCCATGAGCTGGCTCATCACTATGAGCCTTGTTATCTTTTTGAGCCACCTTATCCGTGAGCCTGCTTATCCATGAGTCGGCTCATCTCTGTGAGCCGGCTTATTCATGAGCCGGTTCATCTCTGTGAGCTGGCTTATTCATGAGCCGGCTCATCTATGTGAGCCTTCTTATCTCTGCGAGCCAGCTTATCCATGAGTCGGCTCATCTCTATGAGCCTTCTTATCTATGTGGTCCAGCTTCTCCATGAGCCGGCTTATCTTCAAAGTCAGAAAACTTGTCTTGTAATAGGTTGCTTATCCATGATGCGGCTCATCTCTATGAGCCAGCTTATCCATGGGCCTGCTTATCCATGAGCCGGCTCATCACTATGAGCCTTCTTATCTTTTTGAGCTACCTTTTCCGTGAGCCTACTTATTCATGAGCCGGCTAATCTCTGTGAGCCAGCTTGTCCATGACCTGGCTCATCTATGTGAGCCTTCTTATTTCTGTGAGCCAGCTTATCCATGAGTCGGCTCATCTCTATGAGCCTTCTTATCTATGTGATCCAACTTCTCCATGAGCCGGCTTATCTTCAGAGTCAGAAAACTTGTCTTGTAATAGGCCAGGTCAAGATTGTAACCAGGTCAATATTGTAGCGGGGTCATGATTATAGCCGGTGGACTCAACTCCAGAGATGACTTACCCTCAGAGCTGGGTTTAGCTGCGGGTAACTCCCCCAACACATTCGATGATCCGTGTTAGAGATGCCCTTATCTAGATGTTTTGTGCTATACAAAAACATACACATCTTTGAACAACAGTGCAAAGTCTCAAAACACTGTGGATAGCAGTGCAAAGTCTCAAAACACTATGTGTGGATAGCATGTGCCTTTCACGAAAATTACTACTACCTCCAATTTATAATAAGTGTTGCAGTTTTAAACTAACAGCTGTTAAAAAATGCGACCCTTATTTTGGATCGGAGGGAGCAGGAAATAGGTGCATCAAATATCTCATGCACATGCTCCCAGGTGAAATCGAGAACTGAAAGTTTGCATGCCCAAATATCCCGGGAAAATTACAGATCTCATGCCCGAGTACTTCGAAAGCTTGTAGAATTTCATGAAGAAACGAGTACTGAGACCATCAAACTTGTAATTTGCTCAGTACGACAAGAGCACTCATTTCTGATGTGCCCCTCTGTTTTTACTGTTGCCATCTTCCACTATTTTGTAGACACGCCAAGTACACTAGTGATATCTGAATGAAAATATAATCAAAATTGGCACTAGAGAAAATTGATTATAGTGGATACACTAGAAGCATTTACAGGAATAGAAGCTCATGCTTTCGAGCTGACTAAACTTATTCCTAGAGACTAGAGTGAAAAAAAATTGGGGCGTAGGAGGGAACAAGGTAATATATACCACTTATCACCAATGAACCAAGAAAATGCTAAAGCAAAAAAAAAAACTATGACAATGCCCATTGACATCTACTCTAACCTAATTCATGAATTTCCGACAGTCAGCAGTCTGGCACAGGCAAGGAACTTTGCAATCATCAGCCTCATCAGGGTCAAACAGGTAATCATACCTAGAAATTACACACAACATAAAAACATGTTTAGTCTCCTTGCATCCTTGCAGAAACACAAAGATTATCACGATGGAGTTTAACATAATTTGCTGAGACCATCTGCAAAGAAAAAGAAAAGGAAATCATATACGACATACGTTAGCTCTTCACCGGCACAAACATTTCTCTTGGCAATTAGAACAATGCGGCTCTGATCATGCCCCACGCTCATAATCCTCGCATAAAAGTTTGGCGTGCACTGCAGCAAAAATAACAATACATCAGGCACATATTATTTAGAATCTTAAGCAGATTTGAAGTTCATTATATGATCCTTACAGAATGATTAATCAGGCGTGCCACGTTTCCTTTGTCTGTGGCATCAACAACCACTTCCTCGCTGATTTTGAAAAGCTGGGCAGAAAAAAGGACAGCATAAATGTAGTTAACGTTAGATGTATTATCAGAGGCTATTAAAATAATACATCATAAATCCATATAATGCATACAACACGTGATTTCCAGCAGTTGGGATGGCCAAATAGCATGTGTGTTGTAGATATAATGTTATTTCACAGAAAAAAATGCACTCATGGATACACCACATAACGGGGGAACTGGTATGGAAGATGACTCACATAACAATCTTTTCCCTGTACATGATACTGTGCTTCCCGTAAGTCCGCAACACTTCGTCTGACCTGTTCACCGCGGTACTCTAGAACCTGGAAAAAAAAGTTAACCATGAGCAATTTCTTGAACGAGGGCAGCAGCGTATTAATGAAACCACATGTAGGATAGCGGAATGCCGGCTTAATAATGGAAACTAGGGCGCATATGTGGGAACAGAAATTACCACGAGTGGTTACAAAGCAACCATGTAAGAAAAGTATAAATGGACCTTTAAAAAAATATCAATGGAGCGTAACGTATAAAGTAGAAAGAAAACCGTGTCATTACAACCAAGCATATCTACTGTTCAAGCGCCCCCAATTGTGAAAAATATTTCCATGGCATATAATAGTGTTTGAGGGAATACCATTTCTCCTTCTTGAATGTCCCTACGAGCAAAAAGTCCCCACCTATGAATTCCTGACCTACCAAAGCATACTCTGCTATGTTCCGTTTTCTGAAGTAAAGAAAAATTAATTAGTTTCATACTACAAATATATAAGTACAAGGGAAAGCCAACAGACATATAGTAACCTGAAGATAATGTAGACGCTCCTTAAAAGTAGAAAAGGATTCCGGATCCCTCTCTTCCTGCAGAGTACAGAGTTTTCCTTCATAAGAAAATTTGACTAAAAGATGGGAAAAGATATCTAATAAGCATGCATACATTACAGAATTAATCAAATTACCCTTCGTGGATTCAGACTGTCAATTTCATCCCAGCGGTGTTGACAATATCCTCTTACTCGGTGTGCCATTGCTGCCTCCCGGGATCTCTGCATGCAACAAAATTCCAATCAGGTGCGCACCAATGGGTTATCAATACAAGATACCAACCGGCAACAGTACTTATATTTTGGGAACAAGTGGCAGGAACACGGACACGCACGTTTGGCTCTCGGGTGTAATTACACCCAATTTTTTTTAAAAATAGTAATTTGGAAGAAAGTCAAAAAATCTGAAACTTTTTGCAAACAAAGTAGATTTATTGTTGCACTCGTATAAAAACTTTCGCAAAGAGAAGACTTTCATGTTGTTCTGGACGTAAAAAAACAAATTTGTCGCTATATATGCCGTACTGTTCACACTTTTAAAAAAACAAATTTGTCATTTTTGTCAGAGAATATTTCGTTGCAAATTATTTTTGTACACTAGAAATGACAGCTCAAGTTTGTTCGGGAAAAAGTTTTGGAACGTTTTGACTTTTTCTAAAAAAAATAAAAATAAAATACATAACCAGGTGTAATTACCACCATGTTCCAAAGGGTATTTTCCCAGGAACACTGCCTATTGAGCAACACCATATGTGCCAGGTAGAGAAGCAGCAGGCACATGATGACAGGACTGGGAGTCCTAGACTGAAGTTGAGTCCAGAGAATCTGGCCAGTGGGAGGCGTTGGGATTAGGAAAATAAACAGCAAACAAAGGTTGAATGCCTTGCAGTAATGTGCTCCATATGGTCACAACTAACGAAAAGAAGAGGAATCAGGGTCGGATAGCAAGGAGTCGAAGTTCAGCTAAGCAATTACAAAAAGGCTGTTGCATGTGCTCTTTGAAATAGTGTTTTTTCTTCGCTTAAATCAGGCACAGCTCAGAGTGTCTTTGCCACCTGGAGAATGAGGATGAGCGACTTATGGTGCTACCAGATCCACTCTTAAGCCTGAAAGTCAGAATCTGCTTCGTCACACTATGACATTTCACAAAAACCCAACTGCTAACAGCTACAAACTCCAGATCTGATCAAACATTGTCTTTGATAACCGTCTGGATAAATCACCACACTGGTTTCTAACTAGTACCTATGCTAGCTAAATGAATTAAATGTCCCAGCCTCCAAGGTATCTTGCAAGTTCACACAAGCCTACGAAACATGGTTAGCCCTATTTTTGGACGTAACCGTTAGCTGAAAGAAAAAAAATTCTGAGACATAACACTTGGTTGGAAGTAGTAAAAATCCCTCCAACTAACTAGATTCCATAGTGCAGCACAACAGAGAGTAGAAACCAGACTATCTGCTAGTAACACAGGGGTAACTTTAGCTGTTATCCTAGTTACCCATTCTCATGTAGCACTAGCATCAAAAGATAATGGCCACATCCTTAGAATTAACAAGTACTTCCCCGAACTTTATTGTTAAGAGCTGCTATAATGGCTATATTACATGCTAGACGTACGTTTTGTGGCTTACGTTGTAGCTAGCATAAAGGTGCATTCATTATTCTTTCAACTTTAAAGCAAGGCATACCTTCAGTTCTTTCCTAACATAAACTCGACATCTTGCAGAACATAAATTCTCTATAGTTTCAACTTCTGATGCTGAATCCTTGGGAAGATCTTTCCTAATCAGTCTTGAAGCAGCTATGGTGCCACTACTCTGAACAAGCCTTTTTGAAGAGAAAGTTCCAGCAGGAGTTTGAATTATCAAAACATTATCAGGATTAGGTCTCCTGCACATAAATAAATAATCCAAGACAATCCAACTGTCAGTATTGCACAAAAAGATGTGAACAAATTATAGCTTTACTCGTGCTTCCACTTCATAAATCTTACCGATGATGAGCACAATATGAAATCATCTTTGTTGTCTGTTTGCCGTTTTTTTCCAAGCAGTGCAGCTGCATACATGAAAAACATAGTAAAGTTCAGATGTGCTAAAAAAACATGAGATGCAAGCAAAAAAAATGAAATTACACACTTTTCTTCATTGATAAATAGCATAAGCAACATGTTCTTGCAGCGATCAGTATTAGCTATACCTCCATTCGATAGCCTGCCCTTGATGCACAGGTGGCATGGTAATAAGTCGAGCACCTGTAGCATTGTGTGCAAGCACCATGTATTTGCCTACATATGACGCACATCTGGAGCAATGGGCAAGAATGGAACATAATTAGGTCAACGTAGTCAAACATACGAGATACGTAGCACTCGTTCAGGATCAATCATCTTAAGCCACTTAAGCTATTGCACCAGCATATGTATTCAACCTTCATAAATAGCAGAGGTGCCATGCTCAATATCCCAATAGCAGGTTCCATGAGCTCATCACTAGCAAAAGCCACCTGTGGCTGAAACCATGCACATGCGACATGTACCCACAAGTTATCAACATTTGTTGGCTTCAGCGCTCCACCTAAAATAAGTGTTGAAGCCAGTAAGAACCAGGTTAATGATTACAAAAATGCTAAATAAAACAGAATGTCACAACTTGATTTTCCGGTATCAGATTTGACAAACTTAATTTAGTTGCTGTGGTGTTGTCATTATTGTTATTTAGAAAGAGACCTAGGTTCGACATTAATAGCAGTACTGATGAATCATCCTGTTACGGAATCTATTTCGTCCAGTTACCACTGAAAGGATAGCAGGTACATACCTTTCACAGGGCAAAGGCAGCAATCCCTCTTTTGTTCAGGCGTTTCACAAGCCCTACAAATCCACGAGGTGAAATCTTGCTTACCGCTCACACCATAGCATTCCTGATGAACAGCTATCTGGCATCTGAACATGAATGTGATCAATTGCAAACTTTATTCCATATCTCAAAATGATTCGCACCAAAGAAAAACATTGCGAGCAACACGAGCTTAATACCTGTTACAAATCACAATCTTATTGTAATCCCAATCTTCAACCCATCTACAGACTGCACACCTTTCGGTTGTCCATTTCACTTGTACATGATCATAAGGTTCTGTACATAAATTCAAGGTCCGTCACTTCAAATTCCTGGGAACCAGATCTTCTAATACTATAGGCTACAAAATAAATGCTCAGTTACCATTTAACAAATCAAGTAACTGCTGTTTTTTCAGTTTCTGAGAGGAGCGCTTTGAAGGATATGTGGAACACACGCTTGGTTGATGTTGATCTATCTGTAAAGAGAAATGTGGGACATTCATAACCCTAGCAAATAGAACTACAAACCAACAAAGGAACAGAAATAAAAACTACAACACTACTATACAGTTGCACAAGTACTAACAGCATCTATATATGCAGTGGAAAAGGTTGAAACGAAAGCATGTTGTCATTACTGTACGAACCCATTTTCCAAATGGCATAAGTGTTCCCTTCATTTTAATACTAGATTTCCAATTTTTACTTCTGCAGCCAGCGTGCCTTTCCCATTCATTGAACAGAAACTTTTGTCCCTTACAAGGGGCACAATGGCAAGAAATCCTGCAAAAAAAAGATAGTTTTTGAAGTCATAAGTAGGTCCAGATATATATGAAAAATATCAGAGTTATATGCAGATGAATGGAAACCACCTAAACAATGAACGAAGGCAAGCAGAAAGATAAGTTCAAGCCAAAAAACAGGAATCAATAATCTCACTAAGTGTGCATAATTGTGAGAAAACTGAAATTAAGCTATGGTGGTGCAGGCATGCCATGCCAGTCACAAGTAGGAATAACTTCACTACAATCTAATGTAATTCAGATAAGTGGTTCTTACAGTTCGAGATTTGGTAGGTAAGTTCCTTCCATGTCAAAACAGATGACCCCTACTCTGTCAGGCTTCCTTCCTTTCTGTGCAGAATTATCTTTACTGTTTCACAAATGGATTGTACATGTTAGTCTTAAGAGCAAATAAATTAGAACCTTGAAATATGAAGTTGTAGCATAAACAAGTAGTTCTAGCCTTCTAACTCACCTATCATCAGGAGAGTTTGTCTTCTTGCTGGACAGATTTGAGTTACGTTTAACCCTACAGTAAAGGCAGAAGTAACTTTTGTCTCGTAGATCCTATAGCATCAAAATGAGCATGTTAGCGATGGTAAATTACTAAAGCACCAAAGATATTATGACGAGAAAAACCTTTAGGTTGCTGCACTTTTTGTCACATTCTGCATGAATCCAACTTTCACAACCATGACAGCAAACCTGGTTAATCACCTCCCATCTTCAGAATTTGCATGGTTGGAAACATAAGATAAATTTATATTGCGCTAATGGCTACACTATGTCTTACCCATCTTCGGTCACATTTATGTTGCCAACTTTTCAAGCATATCCCACAGTACTCTTTTGATCTCAAGATCTGCACATACAGGAAGGTAGTGTAAGCCGTAAGGACAAGACACTCAGAGTGAAGTAGGTTCACCAAAACATACCCTAGCACAGTGTTTGCAAGCAAGTTGCTCCATCACATAAACCAACTTGTTTGACTCTTTGTTTGGAAAGCAATTTCCACAACTTTCACACTGCAATTCACTTGTATAATGCTGTGTGCAGAGAATAAGCAAAAATCTAATTAGTCTATTGGGGAAATATATGACAGTTGAAGAAGCAGTTCCATTTTGTGATAAATAGTACAAGAACAGCACTGAAGTGTAATGGTGTTACTAACTATCGTCGGCCATTGACTGACCCAGAAGGCGAGCTCTATAAGGCCAATAAGTTGAATAACCATTGGTACTCCACAATATATAAACATGCTCAGTTTTATCATTCTTCTTATACGCACACAGTACTATGTCTGCTAGATAATGTTTCTCAGAAGATTTTTCTGCAGTCATGCATCAATGCACTTTTCAGGCATTCGGCCCCCATCTAAAGTTTAGGTTTGAAGAAAAATCGTATGAATGTAGATAGACCTAAACTGTATACCTAATATTAATGCGTAGATAGAACACCAAAAACTTAGAAAGCCAGTAGGCAGGATTGAATACAAAGCCATGGAAGGTTGGACCAAAAATATTGATAAATTTCTGAAATTTCCTGTGAATACATGTCTTCTTAGTTGTGGAAAAATGGTCAACTTGCCTTAATCTGTGCCTGGCACTCCAGCTCGTTTGAACCAGTCACTTCTTCTAATTCGTCTGGACAAGATTGACAGACAACAGGCTGCCCTGCTGTGCTGTCATCCATTGGCACTTCAGAGAACCCCTGGTCGGCCAAAAAGGCCTCTTCTAGTGCCCTCTGGAAGTCACCAGGTTTGAGACTGCTCAAATCTGCTTGCCCTTGAAATCTGAGATGGAAATACATATATTTCTTAGCACATGTGTGGGTGCTATTCTACTTCTTGCCAATAAAAAGGCTTTCCTGATATGCTTTTGCAGCACTTTAAATGCAATAAGTGATAAGTTATTTTTAGTGAATTACTACGTACTACTAGTACTTACTGGTCAATGTAGTCCACAAAAGGAAAAATCCCTCCTTGCCTCACCCAGACATACTTCTGCAACACACGGGCGTCATCAAATGGTCATTCAGAAAGAAAGAGAGAAAAAAGGCTCAAAAGCAAAAGAGGAAGTGGCGCCAATTCAAGTCAGTCAGCCCGAACAAAACAGTAATTAATGTACCTTCTCGTCACTGAACTCTGCACGCCAGCCAAACAGCATCACACAAAGCACAGCACCTCCACGCGGCTGGGGCGGCATTGCATCGGCAGCTGCCTGCCGAGCTGGGTCGACCACAACTCCTGGCCACGCTGGTTGCCGCTTACCCAGCCGTGCCCACACAATGTCGCCATACAAAAACTCTGTGCTCCAATGAAGGTCCTCCTTCTGCGCCTGCAGGTCCTCTTCTGCCTCTTCCTCTTCGTCTTCCATCGACTCGTTTCTATGGTAACCGCTGTACGGTTCATTGTGCAAGGAGGTGAGCGCGCTCAGAGACATGGAGTACTTCCTGGAGGCAACAAAATTCTGGCACACTCGGTAACGCTGTGCCTCCTCATCCTCATCCACCTCTGACAATGCGGAAGTCCTATCCAGGATTGCACCTTTACGGCAGAGCGGCTTGCTTTTGGGAACGAGCTGCTCGACCTTGGGCGGTGCAGGCGGCTTGGCCGGCTTCTCCTTCTTCCAGGGGTCGATGAGCACCGAGTCATTGAACCGCGAGGGCAGCACCTGGGCACGCCCGCGCGACGTCCGGACGACAGGCGGGCGCGTGGCGGCGGCAGCGGCGGGCGCCGGCGCAGCGCCGGCGGGTGATGCAACCTCGGGCTCCTCGCACCAGCGGAACCCGGCGGCGGCATACGGGATACCGGAGGCCGGCACGTGGCCGAGCAGCTCGACGGGGAAGAAGTCGTCACCCCTCTGCCTCTTTGGACGGCGCTCGCCGGCGCCGCCCTCGCCCTCGGCATTGCAGCGCTTGAGGCTGAGGATCTCCGAGCGCTGGGTCCGCTTGAAGATCATCACACGCGAACCCTTTGCCCCCCGCCCGAATTCACCGGCCCGGCGGCGAGATCACGGCGAATTCGGCGAGGGCTCCCCCGCAAACCCTAGCCCTGCCCTCGCCGCGGCGAATTGGAGAGGAGGGGAATTCGTCCCCCGCCTCTCCCCACGAGCCGTCGCGGAGACGGCGGGAGGAGGAAGGGGAGCAAAGAAGAAATCTTTGACGGAGATGCACACGGAGAGAAGGAGAAATCGGGATTGGGGGATTTTTTTTCTTTTTGGTGCCTGTTCTTTGTGTGTTCTAATGGGAGGGCTCGGGAAGAAGAAGTCCTACGAGAAACGAGGAGCGGGGCGCGACCCGGTTGTAAAAACGATCCTGGCCCTGATTTTTCTCTCTCGTGGGATCGGGTTGGTTTCGTGCGGAAGGAAGGATGGATGGATGGATGGGATGGTGGTTACATGGATGGAAGTCGTCGTCGTCGTCGTCTTCGTCGTGGGTGCAGGTGGAGTTGCCGTCCCGACTCGCCGTTGGATTTTGGTGGTGGTGGTGACGGTGCGCGTCCATGGAAAGTTGGAGACGGAGGAGGCCGGTGGGCGTTACGAGGAGCTTGGGCTTGGCGTTTTGGCGTCGTGGTACGGGCATTTTCTTTGCCCGGATTTTATAGTTTGGATTCGTGTGGGTTTGAGCTTCGAATCCGGAATTTGGTCTGGGCTTTTGGTTGTGCTTGGGTTTGGACTTTGGAGGAGATGGTTTCGACATGGACGGGAGGAGAGAGAGAGAGAGAGATGATCAAGGTGGCCACGAACGAGTTTTGTGCAGTGTGGGATGGGATGGGGAGCTGGCTAGGCTAGGGCGACGTCACGACGAGTAGGTAGGTAGGCGCTGTACCTGTAGTGATGATTGATCGTCCCTCCCGGGCGGGCGGAGAGACAGACGGTTTGATCCAGATGCGACTCACTGACTGTCTTCTCAAACTCGATGGAAATATGAATGGTCGATGCCCGATTTCGCCACCCCGACGGAATGAAGAAATTTCCGGGTTTTATTTTCTTTCGTGTTCTTGTTTCGAGTTCGAGCTCGAGTCCCTGCAGCTCGGTCCTGGCAGTGACCGGTGTTTGATCTAGTCTTCTGTAGGTGGAGCTTCCGGTGGGATTTGTGCGAGTTTCCATGTCGGCCTCCTTGGGCGAATCGCGAAACAAAAATCGTGCACGGGCCAGGAGAGGAGAGCGCAGGCGTAGATCCTGGTCGAGGCATCGCCGGCGGGTGTTGATCCAAGCAGAGACGGTCGATTAATCCGACTTCTTTTTCTCTTTTGATTTATCCATATATCTATATAATCTATCTACTAGTACTAGTTGCAATCGTGGTCGCCGCGCTCGAATCCACGGTCGCAAAGGCGTGCAGCTTTGGCCGCCCGGATGACACTTCCGCCGTGCATTCGTGTCGCCTTGGCCACGATTCGCCGGAGTTGGAGGGACCTTCAGCACGCACGGCCACGGCCACGGGCTTCTTTGCTGGATTCTCCCTCGGTGGCCCGGTGGACTTTGATTGAGTGCGCCAGTCAGATTCCCAGAGTCGTACCGTCGGAGTTGGCTGTTCCATGGCCATCGGAGCAAAGAGCACGGGAGGGAGGCGTGTGTGTGGCAGTGCGTTCATGCTGTGTGTCAAGATTAGTACAACTACAAGGGATGTCCGTCCATGGCCATGAGTGAGGCGTGAAGGAGCTGCTCCAGACGACGCAGCGACACAAGAATTAATTAGGGGTAGGTGTCAAAGTTTTCTTGGTTCCTGTGCCTGCAGCTTTTCTCATCCTCGATTGTTTCTTCCTCCTTCACTGAAGAAATTCTCCTCGTTGAGATTCACAGATACTACTGCTAGTAGATCCGAAAATGAAAATGATCCGGTGAGGCGAGCGTTGTGCCTGCACACATTAAAAACATGATTTTTCTCACGGGTATCGTTAGGGCGCCGTAGTCCAGTGTCCAATCAACCCCATCCGCGAAGCCGGCAAGAAATGTCAGATCAATTTTATTGTTCGGCTCACTTGGGACGCCCAAGTTGCCGATCCAGCCGTGTGGAGAACCCCCGGCGCCGCCATGCTTCCTGCCCGACGCACCGCACCGCCATCGACCGGAGCAGGCGAGAGACGATCTCCTTCGCTCGTGCAGATGCCTCCGTCTGATTTCTCAGCTCTAGCTACAAACGGCAGATGTTACATGTGATTTTCTCATCCTGTTCGCTGCGGCTACTGTAGCGGTGGTTCATGACGGCCGCGTTTTTTTTTTAAATTGTTCATTCAAATCGCGAATCAGTACAAAATAGGTGACCCTTACAAGCACATTAAAACGCAAAAACAAATGACCATGAACACTTAAAGTACCCTAATACAATCCTAACACAAGAAGATCTCCGAAGCCCTGTGTCATCATCCCTGAATATTGAGAGAAGACCCTTGCAGCAAAAAAAATGCAACCAGTCGCAAACGGGTCATCATCTTCGACCACGGTACAATTGCCGCAACGCTGCTTCCTCCTTTCTTGACACCAGCGCTGAAAGGGCATGAACATCAATCCAACACACCTGCAACAGCCGTCGCCATCTTTGGCTTTGAGTACCGCGAAAAGTGTCCCTTCCGGAAGGAAGAGAACTCGAGTCATCCGACCGGTTCAGCACCGCGGCCGGGCCATCCGCCCAGGCAAAGCAGGATCTCCCACCAACATCAGCGCAGAGGAAGGAGAAGAACAGCAGCAGCAAATCGTACCAACACGGAAGAAGAAAGGTCTTCGTCTCCCTACCTCCATCGCCCATCTGAGGATGCAAACGGCCAGTGCCGATGGACCTCCAACACCATACCCCACGACCTCGACCAGATCCGGGGATCCCCAACACCGTTGGCTCCTAGACGAAGGCAAAAGCCTCGCCTGACCGCGAACGGAGCCCGAAGAAACTTATTCCGACGCGACACCACCGCAACGGTCTCGGCAGCGTCTCCCTCAACCCCAACCCTACCACACACCCACCTAGTGAACAGACCCGAGGTTCCCCCTCCCTCCCTCCGCCGGAGCGGCCGACGGAGAGAGAGGGAACCGGTGCGGCGCGCAAGGGACCCCTAGTCGCCTCCTTGATCGCCTCAAGCGATCCAACTTTTTCGGGCGTGCGGTTGGTCCGTCGTCCCCGGGGGTAAAAGTAATTTCATGACAGTCGTGTTGCGACGTTCTGGTTTGACAGCTGGGTCAATGGCTCGGCGCCCTTCCTACTGGCGCCGCAGATTTTCCGTCTCTCGCGCCGCAAATGGAGGTCTGTTCGTGATACCCTTGATAGTAACAAGTGGGTACATGATCTAAGGGGCCGCATCACTGTCGATCTGCTCCCGAAATTCATTGATCTTTGGGTCAAGATTGAAGCGGCGGCGACGTTGTCGGATGGGCATGACGAATTCACTTGGACTCCCTCTGCAAACGGTTGCTACTCCTCGGCCTCGGCCTACCGGCTGCAGTTTCTTGGACCTTCCTCGTCCCCGGTCATGGACTCAATCTGGAGTGCCTGGCCCCGGCCAAGTGCAAGCTCCATGCATGGCTCTTCTCCATTGGCAAGGCTGCTTACGACCGATAAGCTCATGAAGAGGCAATGGCCAAACTACTACTTCTGCCCACTGTGCCGGAGAAATCTGGAAACACAAGACCACCTCTTCATCGAATGTGTTTGGTCGTGTGAACTGTGGCAAGCGGTCGCCACTCGTTTTTGCTATACTTCACGACCCGCTCTGTGGCGTTCGTAGCTATCTCTGGTTGACTCGCTTCAGGGTCTGCCCATAGGGGGGATAGCACGTCGTTAAAACATGGCCGATCCATAGCTATGCTGACCCTTTGGCATATCTGGAAGGAGCGGAATGATAGGATCTTTCGCGACGAGGAGAAAACTGCGGCTCAAGTGCTAGGCGCCGTCTCGAAAGATCTTACCGAGTGGGTTCTAGGTGGGGGACTTCATCTGATGCCGCGAGAGTAGCCCTAGTGCGAGCCGCTGTTTTTTCTTCTTCTTCTTTTGTTCTTCTTTCTTTCTCTGTTGGCTGTTTAGCCAGCCTTTGTATAGTTGGCGCTCTTCCGCCGTTCTTCTATTAATGCAAACATAGTTCTCCTGTGCTTCAGCAATTTTTTTCTCAATATAAGCAATTTGATGTGTCATGGGCACCACCGTTGTTGTTGTTGCCGCATCTGAGGTGCTAGTGCTTGACTCTGGAACAAGAGCATTCACAACAACTTCATGTGCGTGCGGAATCTAGACAAAAAATTTCACCGCAAGAAAAATTATGCTCCTCTTCAAGATTGACATTGAGAATGCTTTTGACTCTGTTGGATGGGATTATCTATTAGAGATGTTGAATCATTATGGCTTTCTTGCCCGCTTTCGTGACTGGATCTCGGCATCCTTGATAGTTTTGCTAAATGGTATTGCTGGCGATCCAATCAAGCATGGTCGAGGTCTCGCGCAGGAAGACCCACTATCATCGTCATTTTTCGTGCTCGCCATCGACCCATTACACCACATCCTCGACAAAGCCACAACCCAAGGAAAGCTCCATCCCCTTCCCGGGAGGCAGACGGGGATTCGTGCCTCTCTTTATTCCAACTACGTCGTTGTTTTTTGTGCCCCCGTCAAGGAGGGCCTTCAATTCCTTGCCACCATGCTTGCTTCCTTCGGCTATTCCACCGGCCTCTCCACAAACTGCACAAAAGAGTATCGTTGCCCCTGTTAGATGTGCCAGTGTGGACCTCGATGATGTTCTTCAGTCCTTTCCGGCATGTCGGTCCACCTTCCCTATTCATTACCTTGATCTCCCCCACGTTGTCAAAAGATTAAGGAGGATTCATCTCCAACTCCTGGAAGACAAGGCCGCTGGCAAATTAGTGCCTTCGAAAGACAAGCATTTCGGGTTGCATGACCTTGGTCGAGGCGGTTCTTACGGCGACGGCCGTTTACCACGTTACACTGCTTGACCTTTTGGTGGAGGTTCTCAAGGCGA